AGATGAGTGGACTTCAACTCCCAGAATTCCCCAGCCAGCCTTGCTGGCTGGGGAATTCTGGGAGTTGAAGTCCACTCATCTTAAAGTGGCCAAGGTTGAGAAACACTGCCTTAAAGCATTCTTTGCAACCAATTTATGCTCCTACCCAACTCCAAAGAGTGGATAACTCCAGGGCATACTATCTGAGGACATTCCCTCTTTTTAACCACCTGCTGCATCATTTTTGGAGGCTGCCTTCCACACATGTCTTCCTTAAAGACATCCCTCCTTGGAAAGGTTCTGCAACAGAGAGGGCGGTAGGAACACTTTACGGGGCTGCAGAGAAATAAGGGAGCCTCGCTCTTTTCTCTATCTCCCCCCATCCCCGTGCCAAGAATGATGCAATAGCCTGGAAGGCTGGATCTTCACCAGCACCCCAAGCGATAAGAGATTGTGTAAAACACGCAGGTCCAAAGGGAAAGGACACACTGGTGTGTCCCACTGAGCCAACCTGCAAAAAGTCCCTTTTTTGCAAGCCCCTCCAAAGCTTCAGCCCGATGTCTCCAACCTAAACCGCCCTGCCCCAGATAAATCCAGCTGACCCAAATGCTCTCGAGCCCCACATCTTAGGAATGACAGGACGGCGGGAAACGTAAGCCAGCCGACAGTCCCTGGGATGAAACATTTGTGGCTGCCCCCTCCCACCCCCCAGTTTAAATTTCACACCGGTCAAAGGACGAAATCCACACCAAGCCTCATTCACTGTTTTTGCTCCCGTAAAGCTAGGAGGAGTCAGAAAACTCAACGTAATGCCTCTCCTCCTTTAAATACAAAAACAAGTAGAAAAGTTTGGATGGGTGAAATTCATACCACTTACAAAACACGTTTTGTACACTTGTGAGTTGTTAGGTACAGAGAAAAAGGTGACCCAGCAGGACATTTGGAAAAAAAGACACTCCTTTTTCTCCAAAATGCAAATATTGCACTTGGCGGAAATTGGTCTTTACTCCAGATTTTTTTTTTTTTTTAAAGAGAGAAGCACTGGGGTGGGTTGGAGGTTACAGAAAGACTTGAGAATGCTTTTGGAGGCTAGATCGCTCACTCGTAGCCTGGCACCCTCCCATGGATTCACTCTGGCTGAGGATGGTTGGAGTTGTAGTCTAGCCCCCCTGGAGAATGCTAACTTGGGGAAGAAAAGCCTTGGACTTTTCTCTAAAGTAGGGAGGAAGGAAGGAATATGATAAAACATTTAGAGCAGTGTTTCTCAACCTTGGGCACTTTAAGGTGGGTGGACTTCAACTCCCAGAATTCCCCAGCCAGCCTTGAAGTCCACCCACCTTAAAGTGGCCAAGGCTGAGAAACACTGATTTAGAGCTTTTTCCTTCTATGCAGGAAAAGATGAGTTAGTGGGCCAGAAAGGAAAAGAAAGCTTTGAACTTCCTAGTGCATCACTTTTGGGGTGCAGTGACGCATCCCAGGTGGTACCTGGACCAGCTTTCAAAGGGAGGAAAAAGACGGAGAAAATTTCTCATCTGCAAATAACTGGGATAGCAGCTGGCCTCTTTTCTTCCCCCACTCCTGACCAGTAGTAGCCACACAGGATGAGCCAAGGAAGGGACAGTGGGATGATTAAAAATATGATAAAAACCAGAGAAGCTTGGAGAGGAAATAATGGATTGGCTTTCTAGCAGTAACTGAGCATCTTCTAACGTGATGCGCCTGCAGGACGAAGTGTGTTCTCCCTTGGGATGAAGATGACAACAGAAGACAATGTAACCCAGCAAGGAAGGTTCATGAGGATGGAGGTGGGTACCAGTTCTTCTCTGGGGCATTCGATTTCATCCCATCAATGGGCCCTCTGTAGCCCCAGAGGTGGGGCTAAACCCTAAGGCAGAGAGGGACCATCCAGACATGCAAGTGGAGGAGGGATCACCCTGCGCCAGGCTAAGTGGAGCTAAGTAAATGTGGGGAGAGAGAGGTGCTCTCCTCCAGGAGCCCAGCAGCCTTCAACCGTGTGGATGAAGAAATGGGATGAACCCCAAGAAGGTTGGGAAAAACACAACTGTGGAGCAAGGAGATTTTCAAAACCACAGCAAGGAACGGAAAGGTCGATGCTCTGCAGGACAAAGCCAATGTTCTCCTTCCAACATGGAATCTGTTCCAATTCAGCTTCGTGACGCCCATGTGGTTTCTGATATCTCAGAACCTTCCCCCTCCTCCGTGGTTATGGCCCTCTTCTCTGTGCAGATGGTTAGAACTGTAGATATCAACAGGTGCTTAGAAGGAGGACAAGGCCTGTTCTGCAAAACCCTTCAGGAATGGAGCAGAGAGTCACCCACTTCCACCAGCCAGCCCTTGGGTAAGATGGCTCAGACAGTTCCTACTAAGGGGGCATGGAGTTTTTTTGAGGGTGAGGAGCAAAGGGTTGAAAGGGGAGAGGTGCTTTGCAAGAGGGCACCTGGCTGGGGGTACCATTCTGGATGCCATCTTCCACTCCTAGGGTCTTTCCCTCCTCTCGGAGCTCAGAGAAACATTTGGCCTTTAGGCAGGGCTGGGTTATGACACACGGGCACCAAGAATGGCTTTATTGCTAGTGAAGGTACCCAGGGCATCCCACGCTTCAGCTGGTGCTGGAAACCGACGGCCCCCAATGACTGTCTGGGCCTCCCACCTCCCCAAGAGCCAACTGGCCACGGAGGGTCTCCAGTCCCAAGCCCACCTGTCTCTAGAGGGAGCCAGATTTGTGGGGGAAGCCAGTCACCCCCCTTCCCATTTTTTGCACTCTGTAAGAGATTCAGGATTCACCGCCTGCCCCTATCTCTGGCGCGATGCTTGTGGGTTCCCTGCCCTGCCTGGCCTTCTTGGCTTCCAGCTTGAGGATCAAGAGCTCCTGCGCTTCGTCCTTCTGGCTTCCTTTAAAGCTTTCTTCAGAGAGCAAGAAGGCTTCTCACCAACTGGGGCAGAGGAAAGCAGCGGGCCTCAGTTTTGGGTGCAGGTTTTCTGCGTAGTGCAAGTAAAGTCTCCTTAAGGCCACCACCGAAAGACCAAACTGCAGTCTGGATGCTGGGGCGTCTCTTGTGTTCCTCCTGCCCCCCGACTCTGCCACACAGTGGGAGGGGGCAAGCGCACTCCTGCAGCCTTCACACAATCCTCCTGGCTCGCTCTCTCCAGTGTAAGACAACGAATACAAACATTTGCCACTTCAAGCTCCGCAGGAATCAACAGTAGTTATAGCATTGATCAGTGGGGAACAGCTGGATGGGCTCAGGAAAGCCACCCCCCCAGATTGTTCCGCTGCACGCACTGCATTCAGGAGCCTGCTCCAGACGTGCGCAGGCTTTGACTTCTAGGGAGTCCGCAGGCAGTTTCCACAGGCCAGCCCTGCAAGCCGTAAGACTCGGGGGGCAGCGCAAAGAGAGTGTCTGAGAGCAGCGGCGCTGGACACTCCCTTAGAAGAACCTGGTGTCTCATAGGGCAGCAGGGGTGGCTGCAAGGCAACAGGAAAATTAAAAACGAGGCCTCTATTTGGACTCCGTGGGATGATACTCTGTCTCGCCCGAGGACACTTGGGAGATACGCCGTGTTGAACGCCACAGCCGCCGGTGGAACTGCCCCGTCCGCACCTGCAGGAGGAGGAGGAGAGATGTGAGGAAGGAGATCCAGAAGCACCACGAGGAGGACCTCGCAGCTTCTGCGGCTCTGCTCAGCCAAGACAGGGTCCAGTTTGCCAAGCAGAACCTTGACCCCTGTGCGGCCTTTTCAGGTTGTCAGGACAGCGGTACCCATCACGTCCAACCAGGATGACTAATGGCTCGAGAGGAAAGGAGCTACTGTTCAGAACGTTCCTCAGCTGGGAAGCCAGTCTTGGAGGCGGAGTGGGGAAGGAACCCTGGTTGCCTCAGAAAACAGGTCCCAGATATGGGAAGAGACCTAATTTCCCCAAGAGGCAAACAAGGTGTCATTAAGGATAGCTCCATCAGTGCTCGTCCCAGGCCAGTCAGCTGAAAAATCCTCCCCAACTCCTTCCATTCTACCTGACACGGTCCCATTTCCCAAGGCTAGGAAACGAGCAATGCAAACAAGATGGGGCTACTCCCACAGTCCACCCTGGGTTTCAGCACGTCTTTTCAGGAGCTGGTAATATGCTCTTGCGACCCCCGGTTCCTGGCCCTCTGGGAACTAAGCTGAGGGAAGCAGAGGGGCCAGCACTCACCTCCGAAGGCTGCCCTGCACTGACCACAATCAACTTCCCGTCCTCCAGACCCACCAAGATATGGCTCTTCTCTTTGGTCACGGAGACACTGTGGATGGGGACCTTCATGATCAAGGAGGGAATGGCTGGCTGGAGCCTGAAAGTAGAGAAATTGGAGTGGAAGAACCAAGGGGGGGGGGGGCACGGAGAAACTTCCCTGTCTGGCACCTTCAGGGCAATGGAAACCACCCTTCTTATCCTGACCATCTCATCTGAACTCCCCCCGAGGGAAGGAGTTCAGTTTGCCAAAACGAGAACAGGTAGTCCTCAGTTTAAGAACGAGTTCCGTTCCCAAGATCTGTCCTTAAGTCGAATTTGTATGTAAGACAGAACAGTATGATTGTATAATACTGTATAAGTAGTATTGGGTAATGAACTTGAACCACCGTATTTTTAACTCAAATTTTGCTACAATAGGCTCTGTTCATAACTATGGGTTGTCCTTAAAACGGGCATTCTTAACCCAGGGATTACACAGTCCCCAGTTTAAGAACGAGTTCCATTCCCAAGGTCTGTCCTTAAGTTGAATTTGTATGGAAGCCGGAACAGTATGTTTGTATAATACTGTATAAGTAGTATTGTGTAATGAACTCAAACCATTGTGTATTTAACCTACAATAGGCTCTGTACTTAACTATGGGTCGTCTGTAACCCGGGCATTCTTAACCAGGGGACTACATGTATGTGCCATTGGAGCCCAGTTGGATCAAATCAGGGATAAGGTCCCTGAAGAGAAGAACAGCTTCAAAGCATTCAGACAGATGCTGACAAGCAAAGTTGGCAAGGCAATTTCCATGGGCAGTCTCTGCAGGTTGCAAGACCCTGGGGGCAACTGGCTTGGCTAGAGCCTCTTGTTGTGCCCCCTAATATTCCCTCTGCCCACAGCTGCCAAAAATTGGACATGGGTTCCCCTACAGAGCGAGGTGGGAAATATATAACTCTGGCTTCCCCTATGGCCTGCCCTGCATACTGAAGCATAGGTACCATTAGTCCCACCAAGAGAACAGGGTACCCATGTGTCAAAAAAGAGAAACTGAGGAAGGAAAAGATGGTTACCTCCGAAGGTCCCTGATTTGCAGTGAACACTGAAGGGTTCCCAGCACAACGAAGTCCTCCGTGACGCACATAGAGGTAACCTGCTCGTCCAGAGGGACAGAAGACAGGTGCTTGCCGTTGACTGAGTAGAGGTGGAGGGCAAATTTGTCCTTTGATGAAGAGGAAGAAAGAGAAGCAAGGGATTAGTCGAGCAGGCCCATATAAAGTGCAGTCAACCTTTTCCAATACCCCCACCAGCCCAGTTCTAAAACTGAATTGAAATTTGATCCCTGTGAAGCAAGTAATTTTAACCAGAGCTTGAAGCTTACTCTGTTCCCTGGTACCACCAAATGTGGGAACATCTTTGACTCTCAGTGGATGCTCCTCAAGAAGAGCAGGCCTGTAATGTGGACTCATGGCTCCTCTGGAACAGCAGGCAGAGGCCATGGCTGGGAGGGTCTCAATCCAGTTTAGGCTGGTGTGCCAAAAGCACCATACATAGAACAGGGGTACTGAAGATGGTCATACGTGTCCCTCTCATGTCCTGTGCGGATTACTGTAATTTGCTTTATACGGTGCTGCACTTGAGGACTACCTCAAAACTTCCATTAGTGCAAGCGCAGCAGTCTGTTTGCTTACGGACAGGCTTGTTCTTGCCATGTGACACCACTGGTGTGGGAGCTGTGCTGGCTACCAATGTATTTCCAGAGCAGTTCAAGGTGTGGTAACATAATGGGAAGAAGGAATAACCTTGAGGAACAGGAGGAAGAGCCGCAATCAAGACAATGGTAGGATAACAGAAATCTGAGTCCGGGGCAGAACTGTAACCTGAGAAAGTGTCTCAGACATGACCCTCCCTAGTTCTCATGAAGATAAAAGGAGGGAGGGGAGAAGCACATTCAGACTTGCAAGATTCTATTACTGTAATCTTATAATGAAAGTAGTATTAGCGTGCATGACTGGCTTCCTGTCTGGTTTACCTTGAAGAGCTGACATCAGTCTTGTAAGTCTGAATGCGCTTCCCCCCTCCCTCCCTTCATCTTCATGAGAACTAGGGAGGGTCAAGTCTGAGACACTTTCTCAGTTCTGCCCCGGACTCAGCTTTCTTTTATCTGACTGTTGTCTTGGTTGTGGCTCTTCCTCCTGTCCCTCAAGGTTATCCTTCTGCCCAGTACAGGTTATCACCTATACGGCTCAGCAGCTGAGTGCCTTCAAGAATATGTACCCAAACAAGATTCTGCTCACCCGACCTGAGGACATAGAGAAAGCCTGCTGAAGGTCTCCATCTATCAAGAGGCACAACTGAGGGGGCCTGAGAGCAGACATTCTCTGTGAGGGCTCCCCTCCTCTGAAACTACCTGCCCCCTGCAGGCAAGGGAAGCTCCAGCCCCCTGGCTTTCTGGAAGCTCATAAAACTGGCTGTTCCAGAAGTTTTTTGGGTGCCAAGAATTTACTGTAATTGTGATTTTTTAAAAACCAAAATTATAGACTGTATTTATTTGATTGTATATTATAATATCTTATTGCTCTTATTGTATTGGCTGCCTCTGTTCCTTTTGTATACTACTTAGAATCTGAAGTGGTTTATAAATCCATCCATCCATCCGTCCGTCCATCCATCAACAATACTAGCTCAGAGGTAGGATTCTGCTCCACAAGTACTTCGACTTTTGCTAGTGAATCTATTCTGGATTTAACTGAGGTCGTGGCTGGCCAGCTAGCTGCTACTATTATTAGTAACATCATCAATATCACCACGATATAATACTATAGGTAGTCCTGGGTTAATGACTGCCCTGTTTAGTAACCGTTTGAACTTACGACAGCGTTGAAAAAGTAACTTTACGGCTGGTCCTTGAACTTACAACCACTGCAGCATCCTGTGGTCATCTGATCACCATTTGGGTGCTTCGCAACAGTGTGCATTTACCACCGTTGCAGCATCTTGCGGTCACATGATTGCTATTTGTGCACTTCACACTCAGCTTCCGACAAGCAGAATCAGTGGAGAAGCTGGCAGGAGGTTGCAAGTCGCGGTCACGTGATGTCATGCTTAATGACCACAGTGATTCACTTAGAAATGGAGTTGCCGGTCACAATTGTGGTCATTAACCGAGGACTACCTGTACTACTATATTATTATTACAGAATCCCATCCAATAACAAGTTATCTTGTTGTTTAAAGTAGCATGAAAGGAACATGAAAATAGCGTATACAGAGAACAGCATAACAGATCATGCATAAAGTTGCAATTAATAATAACAATGGAGTGCCCCCTCCTCTCCCAACTCTGAGGGCAGGGAGAATTTTGTAGGGCTGGTCCCTTCATTTTGATTCAACAATTCTCTGAGATTGCAAGAAAAATTATCTGCTGCTTTCCCCAAAGTGCCCCTTAATGTTGGAACTGCTAAGAACAAACGTCCAGGCATTCCTGCCCCCTCCCTTCCTCGCAGGCTGTACCTTGAGGGAGGCTCTTCCCCCCACAATCGTCTGGACCACGATCTGCCCCTCGTGACCTACAACCAGGTTGGAGATGGTGACCGGCAGGGAACTCTCGCAGGGGGGCCTCAGTGACTTCATGAACTGCCCTCGGCGGATGGTATGCACAAGGATGGTGCCGTCCTGATGGGCGGAGGCAGAAAGCACATTCAGAATTGGGGTTTTGCCCAGCGAGAAGGCCCACGGGATCAGCGGGGAAAGGAGCATGGCGGAAACAGCGAGAACGAAAAAAAGCGAGTTCTGGGATATCGGTCTCCCTAATTGGTGAGGTTCAAACTATGCTTGTGCTTTAATGGGAGAGGGCAACAGTGTGTGATGGTTAGTTCTCAGACTGATAAAGAGGCAGAAGACTGTTGAGTAAATAGCTGTCGACCCGCTTCCCCAAGATTAGTGAAAAGATCACCTTCTTGGGCAAGGCCTCTTGAAAGAAAATTAGGTGTCCGTGTGTCCATATACATATACATACATATACATATATATGTATATGTGTGTGTGTTTATGTGTATATATATACACACATATACATATACATATATACATATGCATATACATATGTACATACAGGGAGTCCTCGGGTTAAGAACACCCAGGTTAAGGATGACCCATCGTTAAGAATGGAGCCTATTGTAGCAAAATCCAAGTTAAATACACAGTGATTCAAGTTAAATACACAATGGTTTGAGTGAGTTCATTACACAATACAATAATACTGTTCCGGTTTACATACAAAATTGACTTAAGGACAGACCTTGGGAACAGAACTCATTCTTAAACTGGGGACTACCTGTATTAATTTTAAATATGAAACAGTTCAATCGCTGGAGTTCCTGTAACTCCATCCCTTTCTTCTCAATAAATCTTGCTAAGAAAAACTCTGAAAATCATGCTCGGAAAGGAATGTGTCAGGGAGGAGCTTTGATTTTATGACTTCCTGGGTCACCTGCCAAACAACACTTCAATCGGGGCTCCCAAGCAAATGTGATTAACTCCGGGACCTTACCAAGAAAGCAAAGTCTTTACCTTGGACCCTGACACGGCCATGTCCAGCTCAGTGCTGATGCCAACACACGTGACTTCATCTTCATGTCCGTAGAGGACCTGCACTGGCTTGGGTGCTAAGCCGCAAGACAGGCCACCCTAGGTGGGTAAGGAAAAAAGACAGAATCATAAGAGTTGGAAGGAGGCTAAGAGGTCGCCAAGTCCAACCCTCTGCACACTGCAGGGTTCACTACACCATCCCTGACAGATGTAATGGGAAGGAAGAATGACCCTGAGGAACAGGAGAAAGAGCCGCAGTCAAGACAATGGTCAGATAAAAGAAATCTGAGTCTGGGCCAGAACTGTAATCTGAGAAAGCGACTCAGACAAGACCTTCCTTAGTTCTCATGAAGATGAAGGGAGGGAGGGGGAAGTGCATTCAGACTTGCAAGATTCTGTTACTAAACCTTTATAATAAAAGTACTTTAGAACAAAAGCTTGCACAATACTGGAGAGCCCACAGATAGATGGCTATCCAGCCTATCCAGATCAGGGAGCAGAATTTGAAAATGGGCTTCCTGGACATGCCACAAGGAATGCTGGAAGTGGAAAGTGCTGAAGGAGAGGACCAGAGGCCCGGGATCATCTCAGCCATGATGGAAGGGAATCTCCATGAACAAGCCCAAAGGAAGGAATCCAAGGGGTCCTCTTACCTGCTGGAGGACCTGCCAGACCAGGCAGGTGGTGTCTCGCGATCCAGAAATGAGGTAGATTCCACACAGATCTAAGGCCAGGCAAGTGACAACATCTGTTGGGAAAGGAAAGAAGACCTCAGCCAAAGCCCAGTAAAAATGCAAGGGCAACAGACTGAACAGCGTTCAGGAGCTCAGCGCAAGAGAAACATCAGTGCGCCATGAAAAATATCTTTAGCTACTGATTAGAAGTGGCAAAGTATTGACTAAGAGTCCTGCTGACCGAACATCCCTTTGCACAAAAGTCTCATCTGCAAAAGAAAGGAAATCTTAAGATGCCTTGTTTTCCACATGTGGAGATATGTGTATCTACCTATTTTAAGTATAGGAGAACTCCAAGCTGGGTTTGGCTGATGTCCAAAAAGCTAAGCAGGGCGAGATCTGGTTAGGACTTGGATGGGAGGCCATCAATCTCAGGCCTGCACACAAAATTGGAAGGTGGTAATCCCTAGCCAACTTTCATATAAAAAGGGCAAATAGGATTGAACCAGGTTGGATGGGAAGCCACTAGGAACCTCCAAGGCTGTGGGCTAGACTGCACATTGAAAAATAAAAGGCAATTGTAAATCTTCCATATTGTAACAGGACTCCCTGTGCCTGGGAACAAGGATGACTATTTGCAAAATACCGCAGGGCAAGAATAGACATACTTTCCTTCCATGTCTGGCTAGAAAGGAGGAATATCTCCCTGACATCAAGAGAAGAGGATCAAAGACCTCAGAAGCCCCCAGCTTAATATACTCAAGTCATAAACAGGAGCTAAAGTACACTTATCCGGTTTCTAAGATTTGGTAACCCAAACATCCTTCTTTCAGTCAATCTGAGCAGTGAGACTTTGTGAGAATATAGCTTTCACAGCCATGTCGGATATTGCTGACAAAACTGTACAGTCTATCACCATGGACGTAGTCACCACAATGCATGCTAAATTCAAGGAGCTGTTATCTCACACACAAGACACACACACACACAGAGATTTTTTTTAATCACTAGTACAAAAAATCAGCGGGTCAAGGACAAAAAGTTAGACTATTCTTGATTTGTTAGTCTGATATGTATGGGGTTCTGTGGTTGCATGGAAGAGAATTTATATCATGTAAAATTTGGTTGTTAAGCAAATCAGACTCAATTTTACAACCTTTTTTCCAGTGCTCATTAAGCAAATCATGCAGTCGTTAAGCGAATCCAGCTTCCCCCACTGACTTTGCTTGTTGGAAGCCCCCTGGTAAGGTCGCAAAGGGCAATCGTGACCCCAGGATGCTGCAACTGCTGTAAGTGCGAGCTGGTTGCTGAGTACCCTTATCACAATCACATAACCACGGGGGTGCTGGGATGGTCGTAACTTCTGGCACTGGTTGTAAATCACTTTTTTAAGCACTGTTGCAACTTCAAATGGTCACTAAACAAATGGTTGTTAAGCGAGGACTACCTGTAGAAACCTGCAACCATGTTGGAGTTCAAAAACTGCAGGTCTTGCTGCTTCAAAATCTCTTTTCTGAAGGACACAAATCAGCTTCCCATCCTGTTAGTCTTCTGAGTAATATGGCAGGATGAAGCTTGTTTACACCGTACCTGCTAGCCATCCTTATTCTTCCATCCAAACACACATTCCATGGATTAAATTTTCCAAGAAATGGCTGGCAGAAAGGAAAGCAAAGGAAACGGGGAAAGCTGGAGGTCTGACTTCCTACCTAAGTGACGACTGATGTGTCCCACCACCTTTCCTTTGCTCAGGGAGGTGACCCGCAGGCTGTTGTCCCAGTGACCACCACTGAAGAGGAGCTTGCCATCATGAGAGACCACCAGTGACTTGGAGGACAGCTCTGCCCCGGGAGCAAAGGGGCCGTGCAGGTAGCGCTGTGTCCTAGCAGGTGAAAGCAAGAACAAGCGGTTGGAGGGCTTGGAGGAAGCTGAAGGGGCTTCTCTGAATGCCCTTGAACCTGGCAGGGGGAGAAGAAGCTCGGACTCACTTTGGATTGGAGACAGTGGAGTCTTTGGTGAAGCTGAAGTAATTGGAGATGTTTTTATCATATGGCAACCAGCTGTGAGTTCCCAGCAGCCCATTTGCACTTACTGTGACCTGGAGAGAGAGTGAGGAACATCAACCAAGAAAGAGGGAGAAGAATGGCCCTGTTGGGTCAGGCCGAGGCCCTTCTTAGTCCAGCATTTTGTTTCTCTTGGTGGGCATCTAGAGGGGTCTGGGATGCTCTCAAGCAGGATGGAGACCTATCATCTTGTATGGTTGTTTCCCTAGGACTGGTCTCTGGAGGTAGGCTGCTGCCAACCTAGAGATAACATGGGGCCTTCAAGATTTGTAGTCCTCAACAGACCTGCCTTCCGTGAATTTATCCAATCCCCTCCGAAAGCCATCCAAGTTAGTGGCTATCACCATATCCTGTGACAGTGAATTTCAGAAGCTACTTAGCTCTGTATGAACAAATACTTCCTTTACACTGTTCTACATCTCTTTCCCATAAAAACTTAACAGCCCTACTGGATCAGGGCAAGGACCTCTGAGTCGAGCATTTTGTTTCTCATAGTAGCCAACCAGATGCCTCTGAGATGCTCACAAGCAGGAGATGAAGACACACCCTTCTCTTGTTGTTGTCCTGCAACTCAGATTGAGAGGCAGGTGGCCCCCAATCTGGAGGTAACATGGTGTCTTCAAGATTCACAACTCTCAATAGACCTGTCCTCCACCAATTTATTCATTCTCTTCTGAAGCCACTGATGATAGTACCCATTGTCCCCTCTTGTGGCAACAAGTTCCACAGATGAACTCTGTGCTTGGTGAAGAAGGTCTTTCTCATATCTGTACTACATCTCCTCCCAGTCAACCAAGTGGTAAAAGTAGACTCCCAGCTCAGCATTTTTGGGGTAACGTCTTTTGGGATCTCCAATCCTCCTATGTCAAATGCCCAGTTTCCATTTCTAAAAAATTGCTGAGTAATCTCTGGGAGAGAAGCAAGGATCCCTTTTTCCTCTTACCATCATATCAGGAGATCCCTGAGTCATGAAAGAATGAGACTGGCTCTTGGGGACTACAGCCTGGACAAGCGGGATCCTATCACTGATGCCCTAAACAAGGAAGAGAAGACAAGTCATCATGTTTTGATGATCTGGTAAATCTTTGTTGGTCCATCATTTCTGAAATCCCATGCCATAGCTTGAACTAAATGATGGCAACATTTCCTCCCCACCTGGGGGAAAAATGACACGCCTGCCAGTTCTGCTCCCCCAAAAGGAGTAGCGGGGGGATAGGTTGGAAGCAATCAACACAGCTCCTCTCATTCCAATGTGGGAAGGACTTACTTCCACGAAGAAGGATTTGAGCTGGTCCAGGTTCTCAAAAACATTTGGAGAATAGGTGTCCAGCCGAGAGAGTCTCTTGGAGGCATTTTCAGCCGACAAACGGGCTGGGTGCGGCTCCTGGGAGGCAGGTGGAGAAGAAAAGCATGGTGGATTATTTCTTTTCCCATTTCCCACCTTTCTGAAGATAAAGCCGAAAGTTTCAAACCATCTTCAGACCAGCATTCCTAAGTGGTGCCTTGGGGACAAAAAGGCTATTTTAGCTTCCTTGGTGAAAAATGCACAGTGCGTCATCAGTGGCTCACACTCCCCTCCCCACACCCTCCATCTGTTTGCTGCCTGTTTTCCATCCAACTACAAGGACCGGGGGACGTAATGCAAAGACATTATCCATCTTCACTGTTGGTTTGCACGTCCATTTTCCTTAAATGGAACTCTTTTTTTCTCTGGCACCTGCTCTCCACCCAAGGAAGTCGCTGTGCCCTCTCAGTACCAATGACGGGCACATTGCAACAGATGCCCCCCACTGCTCCCACCTTTGCTCAAATGCACATATTCCTGGAAGTGTGTGACTCCCAGGGGATCCCCGGGAGGGCACCGAATCTCTCAAGAGGCCCAGTGAGATCCCTTCTCCCCTTTGCATCCCAGTAACTCTCCATTTCTAGCAGTACCATGAGGAGTGAGAAGCAAGTCTCTTGCACCAGGGATAAACTCAGGAATTCTTTAAAAGGCTCTCAAAAGCTTTAAAATGCAAACCCAAAGGGTTGAAGACCTTCCCTACTTCCCTGGGCCAGGAAAATACGTAACCAACATTTCCACCAATTTTGCACACGGTTCCATAAATCTGGATTTAGCTACAATTTTTTAAAAAGTTTATTTACTTATTTATTTATTACTCTTATTATTTGGTTTAATGTTGGACCCTGCCCAGAATTCTTTGGGATTGGGGAGAACTGTAAAACAATAAAATAAAATGCAAAGGAGGATATGATACGGAAAAATAATAAAACAAAATGAAAAGTAAAATATAACATGGAAAAATAATGAAATGAAATGAAAGATGAAATAATGAAATGATAAAATTCCGTTGATCCAAAAAAAAGCGGACCCTGCACCTGTGGGAAAAACACTAGGAAGAAAAAATAGAATGGAATGGAATGGAATTATAAAATAAAATAAAACGATAAAATAAAATGAAATAAAATGATAAAATGATAAAATGATAAAATAAAGTGATAATAAATAAAATAAAATAAAGTAAAATAAAATAAAATAAAAGCTTAAAACTTATAGTTTAAAATGAGTGCTCCTTAAAATTTAAGGTAGGTGTTTCTTCAACTCCCCAGGCAATTCCAGGGCCCGTCCAAGCTGGCCCGCCTTCCAGATGTGGCAGCACCGCTGGGCTGCTCCTCTACTGCTGCTCCTGGCCCTGGAGAGGGACCTCCCTGCTCTTTTGGCCTCTTCTCCTCGTCTGCCCAAACCCAACCGCCGCCGTTCTTAGTCCCGGGTACCTTCAGCAGCTGGCAGGGGGTCTGCCCAAAGTTACTGATGATGCCTTCCACGGCCTTCCGTTGGGTTTCGTCGGCGATCGCATCCAAGTCGACGGCCCCTAAGTGAAAACTGCAGGTGTGAGGCTGAAACGGGCACAGCACGCCAGTGGAAGAGGCTGTCTTTACATCTCTTCTATCCAGAGTTGGACAACAGTAAGAGGGGCAACAACCCCGGGCCCTCTGCTCCTGGTAGCCCCTCACCCACCCACCACTGCCTTTCTTGCAAAGCAGTTGAGAGGGCTGCTAACTGAGATTGAACGCTTCCAGGACCCTGGGAAGGGAGCGTTCCTTCCTTGAAGCCCCCGCTTGGTCCCCCCTTACCTTCATAAGTGCAATAATAGAAGACATTCAGAGCCTCCACAGCTGCTGGGCCCCTCTGCTTATACCCAAAGATCAAGTCAATCCATTCATGCAGATGGGCCGAGACATACTCGGATTCCTGCCAAGGACACAACACACAGACGGGACGTCAAACAGGCCGACCTCACCCCGTTCCTTCTGCAGAAAAACTACCCAACCTGATTCACCGTGGGGCGCTTTGAAAACCATTCCCAAAGGGGGACATCCACACGCGTATTTACAACCCTGAAATTTAGAGACAACAGGAGAGAATATTGGTAGCTCAGTTGCACCAATGATGTTCCCTAGTTGGCTCACGAAACTTCTGCAAGCGAGTCACCACGCTCAGGGAGCACCAAAGTCTCCATGTTTAGAGACAAGGCAAGGCAACTTTGCAACTCGCTATCGTGGCCGGTCTTTTAGGAAGCAAACCAGGTGGTCTGCCCGCTTAAGACAGGAGGACCTTCCCAGCGACCCCACTGTTCAGCCAGAGTTTGCTCCACGTACAAGGGCTTGCTGGTGCTTGTGGATAAAATCTTCCGGGGACGTGGCCCATCTGGGAAGGACCACGTCCCCCACTTTCTCATTCGATATCTGAAGAGAGCCGAGATCGAAGCCTGCGGAAGAGAAAAAGGAGGAAGGTGGAGGTTACTTCGAGGCAGGACGTGGCTCCTGCAGGGTCAATGTGGAGGAGGAGAAGCTCCAGAGTCAGGGCCAGATATCCAGTGCTCTGGACCCGAAGGTTGGCTATCTCGCGTCCAACTTCTCAGGGACACTGCTGGCCAGGGGAACGGCCGCTTGTTGGGGACCCTCTTACCGTTCTGGTTCTCCAGGAAATCCGTGAAGTAGAAGAACTCTGGGATTAATTCCTTCACATCCACCGGGTTTTCCAAGCGAGCCTGCCAGGCGGCAGGGACCGAGTGGAACTGGCGATCGGAGCAGTCGAACCTGTGGCAGGAACAGGGGACGGGATAATAAGGATTCCTACCAGGGACACAGCGCGCAGGCGCGACGTCCAACAGGCTGATCTGACCACGTTCCTTCCGCAAAAAAACAGCCCAACCCGATTCGCAGTGGGACACTTTTAAAACTCTTTCCCAATCAAACCTTTGCTGGGTTTGGTGAGAGAAATCTCCAGCTGGGCAAGAAATAATTTGGGTCACGTCCTTCAGCACAGACAGGTACTTATGATTTCAGCTCATCTAGATGGAGGAGTTTGTACACGCCTCTAAGCCAAATTGTGGTTGGGTTGGGTTGGTTTTGGCTTAGAGTGTTGTAGGAACACAACTTTCAAGGTTTATAAACCATGATTGGTGGTTTAGCATGGTTTGCAAACCTGGCCAGTTGGATTGATTTCTTTCCTTGCAGTTTTTGCTTTCTCTTTGCTTTCTTCCTTTTTCTTTTTTCTTCCTTAGATTGGATTAGTTTTTAATTTTTTTTTTAAGTTTCAATAAAAATCATATTAAAATGTTAATAATAATAATAGTAGTGATGACGTGGCTAAGACACTTTCCACAATCACTTTTGTGATGAACTTCTAAGCAAGTAATGTGAGAGAAATAACTTAATAATAATTTAAGCTCAGCAGGATCCACGGAAGGGGGAGTCAAAAGAGGCAGGAAAGTGGTGTGGCAACCTGTTGAAAGCCCCACCCTGTTACATGTCGGAGAACATACAAATGGGTGGAACTTTGATGATCCTGATGGACCCACCACCTTGCTTCTTTTGACCCTTCTATGGATCCTTGTGATGGAATGGAATTACGAAGGCCAAGCTCAGGGAGATAAGCATTTTCTTAGCTCACTGGAACCGCGTGGGAGGAACAAGAGGATGAGGCTGG